ACAAATTAATGCAGGATCAGAGAGAAACGAAATTAAAAAAGACATTTTTTTTTAGTAATAATCTGTTTTTTGGGGGTTATAAGCAATAAAAATGCAGTGGCACTGTTCAGTTTCTGCCAGCTGGCTTTCTGTTTGCTCTCTGCGATTGCTACAAGCACTCGATTCTTATTAAGGTTTGTAGAGTACCTAAATAAATACTGCATACTCCACCCTCTTTAAACACCTCAGAGAATGTGGTCTAAGCAGTTTGCAAAGCCTGTCCAGAAGTAAAGAGAGTTTCAAATTACAAACCCATGCATGTGTGTGCAAGAACATATACATGGGAAAAGGTGCTTGGCATTCCTCTATAACCTCCTCCTCCCCGAGACCTCAAGGTCCTTCATTAGCAGTACTATGACCCTCCAAGCACTCTGCTGACACAAGGAAATATAAAGGTTTTTTATGAAACCTATTAGAACGTCCAGATTCAGATTGAGATAGGATTTGAGATCTCTGTGTTACTAGAGAGAAAAAATAGTATTGTTATGGGAGACTTTGGCTTTCTTGATGTCAAGTGGAGATCAAAGGTTGTTAATAATGGTAAAGCCCATGTATCCCTGGGGGCTTGTAGCCCATAAATTTCTTCATAAAGTCAGCTCTGAACTGCCCAGAAGGGATGTGATTTCAGACTTTGTGTCTGAAGTAGAGGACATGTAATAGCTAGCCATGGAAAATTAGCTTGGATCAAGTGATCATGAGTGGATTCACGAGTGGAATGGAAAGACAAAATTAGATTCGAAGCTTCTGGGAGGACTCTTCATTTTGCAAGAGCAGCTTCTAAGAGATAGAGAGAAGATATTAGGGAAGTTAATGAAGCCAGATGACCTGGCAGGCTCCAGAAGGGGAACAAGACAGGAGAAAGGAATGATTTTAAGTCAAAAATGCTAAACATCTGGAGCTTGTATCCCTCATAAAGGTTTAAATCTTGTAGAAAATAATTGAAGTCTACCTGGTTGAATAGTGGTTTTCAGGAGGAAGTTGGAAATAAACAGCCAAAGGAATAAGATCGTTCGGGAAAGAAAGAGCTCTCTTACATGATGAGGAAGCGCAAGGCTAAAGGTACGTTTGTCCAAAGGTTAGATGATATAAAGGCCATTATTCAGCAAATATGGTCCCTCAGCCTTCCAAATGCAAAGAAGACAGGGAAGGAAGAGGACCTGATCCAGAGTGGGGCATAGCTATGGTGAGTAGGGTCCCAGAGCAAACGGTGCTGTGTTGCACACTGGAGCTCTCTGTGTGGTGTGGAGATGTTACAGCACAACAGCCACCCAGAAGCAGAAGCAGCGAGTGTGTTGCAACATTTCTGGGATTTATTTTTTTATTAGTTTCCAAGAAATGGGCTGGAGGCAACGGTTTCCCCCAGAGCATGCCTGGGATGACTCAACCCTGCCTGCCTCAGTGAGTGAAGAGGCAGAGGGGCTGTGAAGACGGGCAGGAAAGATCAGGCTGGCACAGGACATAGAACGTGGGCACTGTGATGAGAACTTCCACATGCTCTGCACCCTGGGCAAAATGCTTGTTCCTGCAGGGTTTTCTCTGATCGGAAGCACCCTGTAGTGCAAAAGCTACATGTTGCTGGAGCTCTCCTGGTATTTCATCCTTGCCCTGGGAACCTCTGAAATCCTAAAAAGGTCTTTCAGAGACTTAAATTATCTCTGAAAAGCCAAGGGGAGTGTATTGTGGTTTTTTTTCCAAACCAGGCTCTGAGTGCAATGCATTAAAATGACAAAGGTAAGTAAAACTCTTGCGATGACAAGAAATTCCTGTCTCAATAATGTGTCTGGTACGTGTTTCGCTCCGGAGCCGCGCTGCTACGTGCTGCCCTGCCTGAGCACACAGAGCCGAGCATGGAACACCTGCCAGGCGCTGACACTGCTCCGGGTGCATTCCTGGGGCAGCCGGGCCCCTCGGGGTGCTCCTGGCCGGGTTGTCCTCCATCCCTTTTGCCCACGTGGCACTCTGCCACCCCATGTGAACTGGGTGGTGCCGGTGAGGACGTGGAGCACGGGGCATCGGCCTCCTAAAGTGCAACCACTGCCCTGCCAGACAGCCAGCCTGGGGAGAGCCAGCCAGTGAAACACCAGCCCTGCGTCCTTTAACTTAAATCCTCCCAAATTTCTATGCCTCCCCTGCCAGTCCCATTCTTGACCAGCAGTGCACCCAGGACTGCAGGCTCAGATAACTCCTGATGGCTTTTACTGTGATGAGTTCCTTGTAAGCAAGGGCAAGAGACACAGGGACCACTGTAAGGGGCCACATCATAGAGCCACACAGAGCCACATCCTGACTCACACAGCAGTTGTGATTTTCTAGAATTAGAAATTCAATTATTTCCTTTGAGCTGTTTGTGGTTATGAGTACTGCTCATTCTTTGTGTTGCTAAACATGTCCTGGCTACATGTGCTGCCCAAGGATCCCTGTGCTCACCTCTCTAGTGTGGGTGTATTAAAGGTGGTGCAGTCCAACTTTATCAGTTTGACCCAAAATCAACTTCATACTGTAACACCAGATAGATCAACAGCAACAGAACAAAATATTTAATGATTAAGTGGGTGATAAGGTCAGGCTTGCAGTAGTTAGACTGCAAATAGAGCAACAGCAAAACAAATGTACGCAAGCACAGCAGCGAAGGCTTCCTTGTTGCACAGCTTGCCCAGCAGACTCCTTGAGCTGTAACCAGGAGCTGGAGCTGGCCCTGTGGTACAGCACGTGTACAAGTGCAATACCAATACAAGTACAAGGTACAGTATAAATGCTAGAGTGCTGCCTTTAGTTGTGTGAACTAAAGCTAGTGAGAAGAGTCAGTGTCTTGGCCAGAAGCCACCCTACTTTGTCATCCCTTCATATTCTTTCTCCTTTCTTTCCTTCCATTTGCAGCACAGATCAGCTTTAGATGACAGCAACTTTATTGTTATGTTGTAGATTTGCTGTAACTGCCCCCTCAGTCTCTATAACTTTGTTTCTCCCTTTTTTTGTTTCATCCTAACCTTCCTTTCTTACTTCCAAGCCAACACAGAAGCATCTCTAGTGACTCACTTCTTCCTAACCCACGTGTGGTTTCCTGCGTGTTTCACAGCACACAAAGCAGCCTCCTCTCTTGTACCTGCACCCCCATCCAGATTTCATTCATGTATCATGCTTCCCTCAATGACTGTAGCCTTGTAGGTACAGCAACTTCTTCCTACTCCTAAGGGATGCTACATGAAATAAATCATCAATTCTAGTAATCAAACAGCTGCTCTAGGACAGCCACAGTCTCTGGAGTGTCCCCAGCTTTCCACAGAGACCCCCATACAACAAGTTAATGGTACAAGTGACCAAGTTGGTAACAAAGTCTAACCTGCTTCTCCTTCCAGACTGTTATCAGTTTTACATCTGTTTTCACAATGACAAGTGGAGAAGAGGGTTGAGTCTCTCCCAGCTCTCTGATGGAGCGTGGCAGTCCTGCTGCCCAGCCCCAGGCTGCATCACCCTCCCACTGCCATGGACTTGTGTCACTTTAGCCACACTGAGTCAGAAACTCTTTACTTGCCATGGCTGGTCATTTTCTGCCAGTTTAGGGATCTATGATGGCCCAGTAAGGGATTGGACAAGTGCCAGAGCCAGGATGAAGCCAGGAGAGGTGAGGGAGTGGTAGAAATGCCTTTCTTAGCAGCAGCAGCAAGCTGCTAAATTGGCCCCATCATAAATAAGCTGTTCAGCATGAAGTGCCCGGTGTGAGTTGGAATGAACCCACTTCCCAAACCACTTAGATGTTTTCTGATAACCGTCCTGTGCCTGGGTCTTGGCATCAGCCCACGTTACACCCTCATGTCTGGGACTCTGTAATAAAGATAAGGCAGGTTGTATGGCACAATGGAAGCTCAGTCTGAGGCTCAGCTGAACAACTGTCCTGAGGAGATTTCCAGATCCATTAAGTGTCTGTTGTCTCCAGCTGGGCCATCAGTAATTAGCTCTGCTGTAGAGCTTGGACTTTGGGCTGAGAAATTCCCCTTGGAGGCTGTCAGGGGAGAGCCTCTGATGGGTTACATCTATAGAGGAGGCTTGAAGGCATTTCATTCTTTCAAACAGTCCTGAAAACAGCATCTCTGGTGTGCTGTTCCAGGAATGAATCACACTGTTTCTGAGAGCAGTATTCAGGGCTGTCTGAAGGGTTTGCATTAGAGATGCCACAAGAGCTGTTGGAGAGGATGGCGTGAATGAGAAAAATAGCAGTGCCTGATGTCTTCCTTGCCCTAAAGCTCAGGTACAGATGGTTTTCCCCTCTGTAACTAGACTTGCTTTCAAGCTTGAAGTGTTCACTACTCTACTGCCATGTTGTTTGGTCATTCACAGGGCACAGCACAAACCAGGTGAGGCATGGGGTTCAAGGTAAAGCCGACATCAGCAGTGAGATCCAGGTCTGACTTATCCACTCCGGGAGGGGGACGAAAAACAAATTTGCGGAGCAAGCCCCCAAAAAAGAGGAACAGCTCCATTTTGGCCAGTCCTTCACCAAGGCAAGCCCTTCGTCCTGAAAGCAACCAGGAGAGAAGTTAATGATCAGCACTGTAACTGTTAGTGTTGAGCTCTGATACCTACACTGGAGATACAGTCTGTAAGAGCAGACTGCTGAGGTAGGAAATTTTCCCTTCCTTCTCTTTGTGTATTGAAGGTGCTACTGGCTTGGTCTCAAGCTACACAGAGGGCTGTAGGTATACGAAATTATTCAGTGACTGTGAGTAAATCAGTGACTCCTAGATCTCCCAAAGAAGAGGTGGTTACCGACAGCAATGGTGGACAGAAAAAATGACTAGAAATCCCTCATCCTCTGTTCTGTACCCCTGGCTTTCATACTTTCCTGAATCTGGGGGAACTGCCATTAGCCCAGCCCCAGGTTGTACACACACACAACCCCATCTCACCTATGGAGAATGGAATAAATGCTTCTCTCTTAATGAAGTTCCCGTTGGCATCCAGGAAATGGGAAGGGTTGAACTGATCCGGGGTTTTCCAGTGTAACTCATCATTCAGAGCAGAGGTCAGCAGTGGAATAATCTCAGTACCCTGAAAGGGATCAAAGAAACACATGGAAGAGGAGATCACTCTCCTAGTTGAGCCAGACTGCTTTCTTGTTTCTAATGTGAAGAGGCAAGTAAGATTGAGCCATGACAAATAGAACTGGGGATGTTTCCCTGCCCCATTGTGGTTCTGCCTGTTATCAGTAGCTGCTGTTTTATTTTTTGGATCACAAAACATTGGTTTCTTACAGAGTTAGATCTTTCAAGAAAGGTGCTGAAGTAGATGCTCCACATTTGACATAAAAGATTCAAACCAGTGCGATTTAATTATGGTTATTCAAGATTCAAACAGCTGTAACAGACCACAGTCCATCGTATGCTGCAAGTTATCCTGGATCCAAGACAAAGGGTCACATGAAAACATGCATCATGGTGTCTTTAATTATTTGTATTTTTCTTTGTCTGCTTCAAAGAAAAGTGTAAGGAATCTGCACAACATAAGCTGCTGTCCTCAAAGCTCACCTTAGGAATCACATAGCCTCGGAAATTCACATCTCTGGGAGTTGATCGTGATACACCCATAGGGACAATATTGGCAAACCTTTGTATTTCATGTATCACTGCTTCTGTATAAGGCATTTTTTTCCGGTCCTCCAACTTGGGCAGCTCTCCTGGTTCAATGACACGGTTCATTTCTTCTTGAATTTTTCCTTGGAGGGAGGAAAGGATTAAGAAGCTGATAACAATCTTACCTTGCAACTGAAATGACTTCCAGTTTGGCAAAGATGAAGAAAAGGGAAAACTGTGAATATTTGGGAAGAGCAGAAGTGGGTAAGCTGGGGCATGATATGGCTCTTTCGGGTTTGTTGTTGAGCCAAGGGAACTTGAACAGAGTCACTACAGTCCATCCCATGCCTGATTCTGACTACACACCTTTGTTACCCCATAACCTTCAACAGAAACCAGATCAGAATCAGCTCCTGAGGAGACCTTTAGTGACGTAAGCCCATAGCCTGCAGGTGAATAATCATGGGGGAGCTTTACTGTAACTGCAGACTGCCCCTCAGCCTCTCCCACTTGGCTGGGCTGGTTTATTGCAATCCAGCTGAAAAAAATTCCTTTATGAAGTCAACGGTTGTTATCACTCTCAGAGCACTCAGAATCATTACTCTAGGCAGCACTGAATGAGTTCCACTCCCTTCCACAACCAAAGCCTTAAGCATGCAACGAGGAATTGTACAAGGGACTTGTCAGCCTTACTCTGAATTTCTGGGTATTTCATCATCAGAAGGAGCCCCCAGCGCACAGTTGTAGATGTAGTTTCAGTCCCAGCAGCAAAGAGGTCCAGGGTTGAAAACATCAGGTTTCCATTGTCGAACATAGTGTGGGGTTTCTTTGACTCCTTCAAAACATTTGGGTAATGGCCATAAGTTCTACAGCAAGTGACACCTATATGTGACTGTGTTGCCACCATTTTTATCTGCATTTTAGGTCTCTGTGACTCTAAACATGCTGGAAAACTAAACATTTAGCATTTCAGCAATACAGCCTGTGCTGTGTGGAATTTGTCTGGTCCCAAGCATATGGGCAATACCCAGGTCTAGATATTAGATTAGTTGGGATTTATTTATTGTAATGCAGTTTATAACTGTACCATTCTTGCAGGAAGGTTTGGGATGATCTCCTCTTTATGTGTGCTGAGTGGTAACTTATGTCACACACATGGGACATCACGACAACCTTTTAACTCAGTGGAGCCATGGAGTAAGTCCAGCACAGCTCACTGTGAGTATAAGGTTTGATACATCCTGCTCACTGCAGTACTTCTGTCTCCACACGCTCCCAGTCCCTGACAGATGGCCAGTCCTAAGAATAAGTCATAGCTAAGAGAAGAGAAAGACTCTGAGACTCAGCTTTAAAGTACCTTTTGTTGCTTTACCAGAAAGGCATCAACAAAGCCTGTTAAGTCATTTTCATTAAGCTCCTCTTTGTGTTGCTGGAAGAGCTTCTGGAGGAAAGCGTTCAATTCACTGATATTTTGTAGCACAGTCTTGGAAGCTCCAGAGAGAAATCCAAGGTATGGGTAGAAGTTATATAACTGTGGAGCAAGAGAATTCTTATTTAATTGACATTTTGAACACATACTGGTATCTCAAATCACACTGCTTGTCCTTTGTCCCATGCCCTGACATTTCAGGCTGTAATTTCCCCACATTCACATGTACTGTCTAAGCAGCAATGGATTCCTGCAGAAACAGAGTGTTCTGTTATGCCTCTGCATGAGTCCTTGCCATGACTTTTGGGAGATTCACCAGCTTAAATCTTCTTTCAGGTCTTCTAGCTGTGCAGATGGTGGGACAGAGGGTTTCAGATGTGAAAGATTGGAATGTGAGCATTGTACTTATTCCAGGGAAGATCCTCAGGTGTGCCACACTCCTATGGCAGCAGAAGGGACTTGAACTGGCCACCTTCACAGACAGACAACATTGCTCTGACCTGTGCTTGAGTGGTGCTTTTTAGGCTTAGCTAGTCTGGGGTTACAGGCAGACACAGACCTCAGTGTGGCTCACTCCACTGGTGGTCAAAGCAGAAGCTTTGTGTCAGGAAAGAACAGGTTTTTATCAGGCTGTTAGTTTGCTAAGGTTGAATTTCAGTGGCCAAAATAAAAGAAAAAGAAGTTTGTCAAACTTGGTACTAGGGGAAGCAGAACTAAGACAGTTACTGAATGTGAAATACAAGGAGGTAGGTTTGAGATTGTGCTTCTGTTCTTCAAAGAGGGTAAAGTTGTTCCTTTTGTGAAGATTTTGGAGGTTTTTTTCTTTTACTAAGGAGCTTCACTGATTAAGCACAGGGGCCTGGGAATCTGTTTCAGATACAGAACCACAGGTATGTTCTCTATGGGCTAGCTGGCTGATAATGTTCTTGTTTTCAAGAAGCAAGTTGTGGGAGGCCAGGAGAACAAACATGGACAACTTGATATCCCCAAAAAATCTGAAAGTTAAAACATAAAATAGAGCTCTTACCAGCACCATAGGGGAGCCCAACAGCTTAGCATTTTGATTTATCAGCTCCAGCAAAGTTAGAAATACAGGATCATCATATTCAAACCTCTCTCCAAACAATATCGAGCAGATGACATTGGATACAGCATTGTTGAGTATCATTTTCGTATCAAATGGTTTCCCTGTGGTTTCAAGCAATTAAAAGAAAGGACAATGTGATTGTGCTTTTTTCAGTCTGATTTCCTATGGAAATATAGTCCTGAGCTCCCAAAGAAAACTCATTCCCCACCCAGAATGCACAGCAAGGAACTGAGTTTCAGTGTTTTAAGGCCTCGGTTCAATAACCTACTGCAGCATATGCTGAACTTTAACCACAAGACACCATTTGCTCAGAGTTAAACTTTCATTAATTTTTATTGTTCTGCTAGACCTGTTTTCTGTCTCTGGAAGAAAGACTTGACACTCACCATGATAGGATTCAAAATATTTGATAAGGGAATTTACTTCCTCCAGGATTCGGATCTCAAGGGTTCTCTTTCCCATTCCGAAATCTCGCAGTGTAGACAAGGTAAATCTTCTCATAGTTTTCCATAGTTCTCCATGGCTGAATGCTATGCCTAAAATAAAGATGTAAATCCTATGTCACCCGTTGTTTATAAATATTTTAAGGCTTTCCTACACACTGGTACCTCTTTCAGATCACAAAAATGGATCTGTAAGATGGCGATACCCTCTGCTGTAAGAAGGTACTGAAAAAAACTACAAAAACTACCCAATCAAAATGTCAATTACCATTTCCTTGTGTCATTTTCCTAAATATGGGTATTTCTGCCCTCTCTCCAAATTCTTCAGCATGATTTAAAAGGGCGTCCTTGATGGTTTCATATCCAGCCAGTACCACGGCTTTCCTGGGTCCAAAATGCACGGTGAAGACGTTGCCATATGTCTTGGATAGCTGACAAGGTGAATAAATATGTTCATTCAAAACCAGATCTGGACTCAAACACTAGTACCAGCCACCCTAGATGGATTTTAGACTAAAAGGATCCTCCTAGCCCTGCCTGAAGTCTCCAGGTGCTGCTGTAATTCAAGTAATGAGCAACAGCTATCGATTGCCAGCATCTCAGCTTGCACCCTGTTTGCACAACAAGGTGTCTGCTATCACTGCTCTTATCAGAGGAGTCAATAAAATGCCATTGCATTCCTGTGGTGTTCTGTAGTAACAGGCCAGTGCAGTGATACCACACTGGGAGGCTGTTTGGAGAATGCTGTGGCAGGCAGGCCTGTTTATTGTAATGCTGTTGACCTGAGGCAAGTGGGCGTGCACACACCTTTGAGGCTGAAGCCACAAACACTGCAAAAACAAAGCTAGACAATAACTCTTTCTTTCAGGACAGCACTTGTCTCCAATTATGGCAAGGTGCATAGTGTTGCAGTCATTGCAAAATTATTTGCTGGCCACCAGAAACTAGGAAGCCTGTTCTTGTAGATAATGTCACAGGAGCACTAGGCTTTTACAGCAAATTAAATATGGATCATCTGTTACACAGAAAGGTAGCTTTGACAAGCTAATCATTCACTTGGTATTTTAGACTTCGTTTAAATACACTTCAAGCTACCAGCTCCAAATGTCTTCTTGTTTCTGATGTGCCTGGGTTACCATTTGCTATGCATTAGATACATTCCACAAATTGAATTTCAGATTAGAAGCAGCTCCTGTTATTACACCAGACAAATTGAATTTGTTTTCATCAAATGGTGGTTTGACGGCTTGGGAGATAACATTAGCACTGGTTCTTTCATCCCTGGCAGCTCACAGAGTGAGCAGAGCCAGGGGCAGGGAATCACAGCTGCCTCCGAGCCTTCCTTTGGTCATTTCTTTGCAGTAGTGCTTCTTGGCATCTACTCTGTTTTTACTCAGAAACACAAGTATTGAATGTGGAAGGCCTGAAATCCTAAATAAAGCCGCTTAGTAGATTATAGTAAACGAGTCTGGTGCCATCACATGACATTTGTATTATAAAATCCCCCAGTACTGCCAAAAATAGTTGCACTTTCATACTGACACTCTCAAACATGCCTAGGATCAGAAGGGAGCTCAGAACCAGAAGCCCATCAAAACTGGTCTCTGCACAATCCTCTGCACTGTAAATCAGGGCAGATGAGCACTCCATGCCTGCTATAGGAATTCCATTCTTTTGCAGCCCAGGATGCCCTTTTTTCTACAATGAACTGGAGGATTTCAGTGTCTGCACTGCCCTCTCACTGCAGATGTTCAAATGGCTGAAGGAGTGCACTGTGGACTGTCTTTCCTCCATCACAGTGTCCAGTAAGCACACACAGGGCATGTAGCAGGTCACTCACAGCACCTCAACTGTCTCTACAGCAACCAGATGATATTGGAATTCACACTGACTTGTCCCCACCTCCCTACGGGAACACAGCAGACACTTTCGGAAACAAACATTGCCCCTGGCTTTAGAATATTTAAGGGGTTTTTTCTTTCTTTTAGAAATAAAAGTATCCATAGAACTGTGTAAGAAAAAGCAAATTTTTTAGCTAGACATATAAAAGCCACGTATCAAGTCCTTAATAACCCTGGCCAGTGTGTGTGTGCAGGGGAATGGCTGGAGAGGCAGAGTTGTGCTTTGCATTGCAGGGATATAATTAGCTTTGGAAATGTGTGCATAGGACCTCCTTCCCTCTGCTGTGGGGATGATACCATTTCTTCCTTCCTTCCTTCCTTCCTTCCTTCCATCCATCCATCCATCCATCCTTCCTAGAGGTCTGGCTGCAGTGAGACATATTTTGATGGCAAATAGTACTGATCTGTCAGCAGACTGGCCCAAATTGAGTCTTCTACCTGCAGCCTCTGAAGGGCTTGAAACACCAACAATATGGAGCTGATTGCAAGGGATGGGGGTCTACACTGAAGTGCCTAAAAAGAAAGGAGTGTGTGTATTATATTTATATATATAAACACATGTTTGTGTGTGTATACCTCGAAGATAAAGTCATTCTGCCAGTCGGCCTATATGCCAAATATCTCATTTCTGCCCTCCATGCAAAGCAAACACAATTGCATCTCCATTTTCCTAGTTGCATTTCTCACTTCGGGAATTGCACATTTTCCCCCTCTCTGCTCATCCAGCCCCTACCTCTGTCAGTGACTGGAACGGCTTTTTCAGGTCCACCACGTTCAAGTTTCCAATCAGAGGAAGAGGCTGTGGCCCAGGAGGCAAACTGCAAACTGACTTCTTCGAGCTGGTGAGAAAGTAAAGGAGAGCAAACAGCCCTGCTGCCAAACAGAGCAGTGAGCTGGAGCCCACGTACTGCAGGAAACTCTGCAGGGCCATGTCCAAATCCAGGTGTGGGCATGAGCGTCTTGGGGTCCCTTTATAGCCCTTCTGTCATTTCCTGAACACACCTTCTGGAGAAGTGGCTTTGTGCAGAGAAAAGGACTCTGTGGTCATGTTAACATCCATTTAGACCAGATGTACTTCATTATGCTGACAAATAAACCACCCTGTTTTATTCTGAACCATGGATTATCGTAATCAGGAGCTCCTATTTCATCTATAACACTGGGACAAGGTGTTTGTTTTCCAGTGAAAATCTGTGTTATGGGCATGTTGTTCTCTGCATTATTTCAGGGGCAGAACTCAAGGACAGGACCCAAGCTGGATTGCTGCCATGGTGCCGAGTCACAGGACTCAGCTGGACCACTGGTGATGCAATGGAGGAAGCAGGACACAGGAAAGCCCTCAAGAACACATGGCCCAGGGTGCAGCTGGCAATCAAGCCCTCAGGAAAGACAAGACTGACCATGGAGGAGTCGGAACAGTGGTTGCACGAAGATGTGCTAATTCAGGATTGCCAATGGGAGTAGATCTATTTACAGGTGACAGCTCTGATTCTCTTCGCTTTCCTTCCACCCCAGTGAAACCACCTCCTTGAGCAATACAGTGTTTTCATTGCTAGCATAGTTATTGATCTTTGGCCCAAAAGTTTTCTCCCAGCAATCCCAAACCGCTCCTGAAACCACTTCAGTCGTTATTTCGCAGTTTACTGTCCAGAGGACTGGGTGTCCATGTCTGGCTCTGTGTTTGGTGATGACTCTTTCTGTTTATGGGCAGATGCTTGTAATCCTCCAGGAGAAACCGTCCCCTCCAGGCAATCCTTCTGCCTAGATTGGAAAAGAGATCCTGAACCTTTGTAACCTGGGAGGAGCCAGGATCAGAGTGCAGCTGGCCAGGCAGAGGATGGAGGCTGCCTGGGCAGCTGTTGCAGAGGGGGTGCCAGGCAGGAGCAGCAGTTTTTTGGCCCTCCAGGTGCACTGAGTCATGCACCATGCCAGGGCAGGGGCCTGCAAGAGCCTGCGTGCCCAGGAGACAGCTCCCCAAGAGCCACCTACACCCTCTGCATCCTGGAGGGATGACAACAAAGCTGAAGTGATTATGAACAGGAGGCCATTGTTGAAATGGTAACTCTGGGGGAAAGAGTCAATTTGATGCTCTATCACATATTCTCAAGTGGGGATATTTTGTTCCCCAGTTGCAGATTCTGTCAGATTACCGGGCTGTGCTGCTGTTCACCCCTTTAGAAATCTTTAGCTTTAATAATACTTTTAATATAATTCTCCAAGGCTCCCGGGTGCAGGCTCCACTGATGGAAAAATGATGATTATTTATTAATAATAATAAAAGTACATTAGCCGAAGGCAAGGGGAATCAATAAACTCTAACGAGATTGACATGAAAAAGGTGCCTGCACATCTGCCTGTTCTCCAAGGCTTGTTATCAGGAGTGGAGTTTTTCACAAGGGGGAACTTTCCTGTGCAGGATGGGCAAAGAAAAGAGGGGAATGGATGGTCACGCCAGTCTCAAGATTTATTGCAAAACTATGAGGTCTTTTTCTGCACTCTGTTCTCCCAGATATTTCCAAGAATATCAGATCCTTCTCTGAGAAAATGGTGTGACCACTGAGACTCCTGACACTGTCATACACAGTAAAAGGGAGGAAAAAACCCTATATGGGGGCATTTGGGTACCAGTGGAGGAAATCTGTTGCTTCTGTTTACATACAGGTCTGTTGGAATGGACCTGGCTGCCGCCATAGCAAGCAAGAGCACCTTCCCAAGGGCTTCCAATCTGTTTCAAGCTTCAGGTTGTACCTGCTGACAATATAGGGTGAAACCCTTTCTCAAATAGTGAGCCCATGGACTTGCAACCTGCTGGGCTGGTGTATGCACTGTGGGAAATAATGGAGGAGCTCTCCAGCGGGAGGGAATGATTGCAGTCTTAAAATACAGCCAATCTGATGTCCTCACCTCCACTTCTTCCTCATATTCCTTGGTTTCCAGTATGCAACTCCAAACACAGCCTACAACTGAGTTGCTGGCTTGCAGGTGAGACATCCCACACAGGACTGGGGAGAAGACGTTGCTCCCTGCTCACGTGTCTTTGTCTTTTGACCAGCCCAAGCCAGAACTGATACCATCTTAAGGTAAGCAGACCTTGTGGGCACAGCTCAGTTCCTCCTAGAAAATGAGCCTGTACATTAAACAGCCGCAGTAATTTCTGTGTGCTCATCTGGAGAAGGTCATATCATCTTCTAATGGGACACAGGTTAACAATGCTACAGTAACCGTAGGATAATGCAGGGAAAGGGTTGTTATAAGGCCATAATTCAGTCAATGACTGCTGATAACATAATAAACCAAGAGAGTGAACACCAAGTGCTTGTGTGCCTTGCAAGGTTCTGCCACTGATTTACAGCCTCTGGAGATGCCTATCAGCCCGTGCATTGTTATCAGGAATATATAAAGCCTGAGCACACCCTATTAAACATTAACATTTTTAAAGACCCAGATGTGTTAAAACTCGAGCTGCTCCTCGCTAATGGATTTTGCTTGCCTTGACAAATGCCACTGCAAAAAGAAATCAAAAGCTTCCCGACTTTGACCTCTTTCAATTTTTCATCATTATTGCATTGTTTTATTGGATTACACCCACTTCTTCCCACCCTGCCAATCTGTATTTCTGCAGGATCACTACAGGGTGGTGATCAGTATCTCAAGTGTTCAGTGTGCTCATTTTCATACAAATAACTTGTTAGTTTCTTTTCACTAATCTGTCAAATCAGTGTGGGCTGCAAATCTACTTTGAGAACAAAGACTCTTGGAAAAATATTTTTTAAAATCATTATTTCACTGCAGAATTTTTTTTTAAAGACTCATGGGGGTTTTTTTACATATTCTGAGCTGAAAGAATTTATGTGATGGGTCTGGTCACTGGGAGAAGAAAATAAAAAAATCTGTGTATGGGATTAGTTCATTGTCCCTTTGCAGAGCCTAAGGTGACAGTATTTTCCACTCCTGTTAAGCATTTACCATTCTTGGGAACTTTGGTGCTTTTAAAAGCCTTTTTTTCTTGTACTGAATGGATGCCATTCCTTCCTTAGTCTCATTCAGTGAGAAAATACGTGGGAGATCCTCGGGTTTGGTGCTGGTAATGTTACTTTTCAATATGCATATCTACAAAAACATTTGCAGTAAAATCCCTTGTGACCATAGCCAGAACCGTGTTCTTCCAGATCTCGCATTCACACCAAGTCACGGCAGCCTGACCTGGGAAGTCAGAAATCAAACCAAATGCCTTGTCATAACTCCAAGGATTTTTTGTTCTGGATTTCTACCCTCAGTCTATCTCAACAGAGTATTGCAGAAATTGTATTAATCCAAGAGAAATTTGGGACATATCACAAAGGGTGATTGAGAGGTAGGTATCTACAGAGCCAGGGGCCCAGCATCTCACTTTTGGGCCCCTGTCTGGACGCAGGTAGAGATGTGGATTTAGATATACCAGAATTGCAACTAGCAGTGTAAGATAAAGGTTTGCTTTGCATCTCAGAGCAGCATTACTATTTCTACAACATTCCTCTCTAACCTGATGAGGCTTTGGCTCAGCAGTAACAGAAAATGAGCTATCACTCTGTACATCTTTGCAGAGCACATAACATATTAAGGCTCTGACCTCAACGGCATGAAACTACAATTTCCATGTAAGTGCAAAACAATAATACTTCATTAATCACCCACAACAAAAATCCCCATTCCCCAGACTATTCTGGCAATATTCTGCATTTTTGCTTGTCTAGGAACCTGAATTAAAAGGGAGAAAAATGGTTTACAACAGCCTGTGGCAGTGATGTAGCAAGAGACCTTATGTAAGAGCTGGCGGCATGCTCGCCTTGCAAGGGTGAGGTGTAGGAATGAGTGATCCTGGAAGGATGTTTCTCTGAGGTGTGTTCTGTGCCTGGGCTGGGAACAGCAGTCTCAAGGGCACAAATTCCAGCATCTGAATGTGCTTGGTCTTGTTCATCTCATTAATTTCTTACAGCTATCCCAAGTGAAGCTACAAAATCCCCGAGTACTTTACTCAAAGCCTTTCATGGCTTGTCAATAAATTATTTTCAAATTAACTACCTGATAATTTGAATCTTCAGGCTCTTAAAAGATGTAGCATGGTGCAAGAGAGAAAATAATGGAAGTCACCGACTTTACCCTGCCCATAAAAAAGAATAAATGTTCTTCTCTGACGTATTATTCAGTTTGGTGCTTCTGAAAAGTAGTGGTAAGTGTGTAATAACTTCTTCTGAAGAGACATTTGTACAACTGACAGATAAACACCAATAATGGAATAAGTTTTCAGCACTAACTGGCAACATTGTAAAAGAGCAAACAATTTTTAAATGTTACTTTAGTCCATACTTAATGAATCTTTAGTCCCCAACTAATGACTAACAGCTCTGATTCAAGCAAAGAATTTTTTTTTAAATCTATCAATCTCTGTATACCTTGAAAGGGGAAGATCCAAGATATTCCCTAGTTTGGGAAGCCTTCTAATTTGAGCCTTCTAATTTTTGGAAAGGGCTCAGGACTCCAGACTAGAGACTCTGTGAAACACTGCATGCTTCACAAATTATCTGATTTCTCTTGTACAATGGGCACTTTTTTACTGAAGCAGCTATTTCAAATTTGCCTGATGCTGTCAGTCTCTCACTTCTTTGAAAGATAATATGGAAAAAACATTTAATTCTCTGTTTATGGCACTGCTTTGTTTTTATTGAATTTCTTTGGAATTGGTTGGCTTAATCTGCAAATGAGATTTTTTTTCTTCACACTGATTATCTAACAGGGGTTTCATTTGATCTCCTTGGGAAAAATACATCCTTAACTGCAAAAGCACGTGTATTAGGTTGTATGACAGCATGTACCTTTAAAGGAAACTCTAGAAGATACAACTGGCATTTGCAATAAAAACATTAAGTAACCATAACCAAACACCTGCTACTATACCTGACCTGAAGGTGGGTAACTACAACATTTAAGGCTCCAAAGACAGACAGTTAATAAATAGGTAATAAAAATATTTGGATATAATAAAATATATCAATTTGATATAGCCTTTGCCCAGAATCATGGAATTGTTTAGGTTGGAAAAGACCTTTAAGATCATTGAGACCAACTGTTCCCCCAGCACTGCCAAGGCCACCACTAAACCATGTCTCTCATCACCACATCTACATCTTTTAAACCCCTCCAGGGATGGTGGCTCCACCACTGCCCTGGGCAGCCTGTTCCAAGGCTTGACAACCCTTTTGAGGAAGTAATTCTTCTTAATATATACGCTCCCACCCAACTGGGTGTCATCTACAAACTTACTGAGGGCGCACTCAATCCCCTCATCCAGATTGTTGATAAAGATATTAAACAGAACTGGAATGGATTGTCACTGTCTGTCTGGGAATAATTCTGCTGTGGGATTCCTGCGTGCCTTTTTCCTTTGACTTATTCCTTCATCACATGGAGAACCAGCAAGTCAACCACTGTGCCAGAAAGTAAGGAACATAATTTGGGCAGTTTGCTAAAATCAAGAGCCTTCACACTTCAGTTAAATTTGTCCAGATGAACCAAAGCTGCTTCTCTGCTGCTCAGTTCTCTGAGATCTGGGAGACAGTTTGCTGCATGTATTTATGAAAGAAGAGTATCTCCCTTTTACCACCAAGTGTTGTAATGAAGTCAAGTGGAAAAGTGCCATTTGCCGTATAATAAAAACCCTCTATTGTTCATAGCACTGAACACCTAATAATAAAACCTTAAATTTCAGGCTGTTTAAACCAGTTACTTATGTAATAGAACATGGTGTAATTTTCCATTTAGAATTTCAATACTGTAATAAGAAAGCAATCAAGGCATAAACAAAACACACTTTAAACAGAGCTGCAGGTAGTATTTCCATAATGACTGTCCTTAAAAATTGAAGCTCTTTCTCCTTTTTTTCCCAGCCTCGAATTCTTTCCACTTAGCTCAGTCATTTAATTAAAAGAAAAATCAACTTAAAACAGATGAAAGACTGTCTGAAACCAATTGCAGCTATTAGCAAAGAAGAAAAAATACTACTGTAATCCACTGTTAACACTTGGGCAGGTTAAATTAAAGCCATTTCTCATCCTCCTTTCAGGAGGAGATTGTGGATCTGCAGAGCATATGCTGTAAACCTGCAGGCAATAGGGGTGTTTTTCTTGATTATCCATCTTGAGGATCTGGAATTTCACCATTTCCCAAGCATCTGCCAAAACCAGCTTGGTTTTACCAGCCTCACCAGTGTTCATGCCATGTGATGGGAACCCTCCTGCTCACCCATCATTTGTAGGAGGCATAAAATAACTCGGTGCTGTCCATCAGGTTTGTGCACGGCATTAAACCATGGGGATTAATGAGGGATAAGCAATCATGTTATCACCACCATGGACAGCTGATGGAAGAGTTCATGTCACTGCAGCAGGATGGGGATGGCTCCTCCAAAATCCTGCTGGGTTTCTGAGGGAAGTTCATACTGCCTCCCTGCAACTGTTATCCCCAGGGCTCTGGCATCACACCAGCCAGGGCTGGGTCCTGAAAAATGTGCTTTTAAGTCAAGACCCAGCACTGTCAGCAGTGTCGGGTGAGGAACTCATGGTTCTTCATGGCATGAGGTTCTTCATGGCAGAGGGGAAGGAGGAGCGCGGCCTCAGCCTGGTCCCTGGATAGAAATGGGAGAGACTCGCTAAGGTTGGATCCTGTATGAAGCCATTTGCTGACACCAGGATCCAGGTTTGGCTCTTTCCCCCTCCATTTCCAGCTGAACAAGTGGCAGAGACAGACCGTTTTTCCAGGCCCCTCCACAGACAGGAGGCCGGTGGCGATCGCTCTCCCCCACCCATTCACAGAATCATAGAATCACGGGATATCCTGCGTTGGAAGGGACCCACAAGGATCATCAAAGTCCAACTCCTGGCCCTGCCCAGGACAACCCCAAGAATCATTCGGAGCGTTCAGAGCGGAATGAGGACAAACCACGGGTTTTTATGAGGAGGAACCTGTTTATTTCGCAGAAGCTGACGAAGCTCTGAATGCAGGGACGCGAACGCCCCCGGCCCGACCCTCCCGCTGGGGCCCGGCCCAACATGGCGGGCGGCGTCGGCGGCGTCTCCATGGCGACGGTTGCCATGGTCACAGGGACGCCGCGACCATGGCGGGCGGCCCCGCCCCGGTCACGTGGCCGCTCGATGCGTTCGGCGCGCGGCTCCCCCCGGTGGCGGGACGGACCGACGGACCGGGGCAGGGACCGAGGGACCGCAGGACCGGCCGTGCCCACCCCCCCACCCAACACCGGCGACATGTCCACCGCCATGAACTTCAGCGCCAAGAGCTTCACGCCGCGGCCGCCGGACAAGGGCGCCTTCCCGCTGGATCACTTCGGTGCGGTACCGCTGCCGGGCGGCCCCGCGCCGGGCCTGCCCCCCCCGCCCGTGCCGCGGGCCCGGTGGGTATCGCGGCCCCGGTGGGTATGACGGCCCCTCGCTGTGTGTTGCAGGGGAGTGCAGCGCCTTCAAGGAGCAGTTCATGGAGTGTCTCCGGCACAGCGGCTATGAGAGCGCGGCCTGCCGGCAGCGCGCCATGGCCTACCTGGAGTGCCGCATGGACAGGCGAGTGTGCCCCCGACACCGGCACTGCCCCAGCCCGGGCGGCCCCGGGACACGCTGGGGACCTGGGGGCCAGCCCGGTGGTCCCTGGGGCGGGGATCCCTTTGCGGGCACGGGAGGGGAAGGCAGCCCGCAGTCACACAGGAAGGCGTCCTTGAAGGTGCCCCGTGTGGCATCAGCATCACTTGGCTCATGTTTCCACGTTATCCAGCCCGTACGGTGGGATCACAGTGGGATTCGGGCAGCTTCCATCCTGCACAACCGCATTTCTCGATGTGAAGCTTATTTTTTTTTCCCAACTGGTTACAAGTTAAACTTTTACCTTGCACGTATTTTGCTCACCTCCTGCCTGACCTTCCTAATCAGCTCCTAGTATGTCTTTAGGACCCCCAATATGTATTTGTATAACTTAACCATGAATTATCAGAGCCAGTGGTATTTCTTTGTGTATACTAATGCAATTGAGTCTTAATTAATGCTGAGTTCAAAATACATCTTCGTATAATTCAATTATATAATATATATTCCCATATAGTATATATATTCAAGTATATAATACATATTCAACTATATAATACATATTCAAGTATATAATATATTTGCCTATATAATACATCCTAGTATAATTCAGGTATAGTTCAAGCAGAAATACTTTGGCCTATTAGCCCCTTAGAAATATGTTTCAAGCAGGCAAGTTAAAAGTTTAACTTGTTCCTCAGGTAAAGTGAAAAAAGTGTTGATGTTTGGTTTTCCAGGGATGTTTCCATTAGTGCATTGCTTTGCAATGCTTCCTGCACAACGGTGAGTCAGGGAACTCTGGGAAATAAACGAATTTCACTGTATTAAAGGAAAATACACTTTCATGGGCTGGTGTCAAGGAGGGCTGCAAATCAAAAACTTGTTTGAAAATCACTGCAGCAAAGGATAGTGGTAATTAAAAGTGGTAATTCACTATCATAAATGGCACAGGTAGAATTTTAGAAAGCTCTTATGCAGTCTGTTAGTTAAAGATAAACCAAGAGTCAGGTCAGTTTCTGAGGAAACTCTTACTCAGTATCCAAAATCAGGAAACAACACATTTAATTGGAAAACCACTGTTAAGGAGAAAAAAAATGATCCCAGAATGTTGCTTTCTGAAAACTGAAATTTCTGAGATCTTGCCAAGCAGCAATATCTCTCTATAGATGTCTTGGATTTCTTTAGGGTAAATGATACTAAATGAAGTAAAGAATGCTGCTGTTCTTTTGTTTATAGACTGTGTTCTCTAAAAAGCTTTTTGTTTGTTTTCTTCTTTTTAACTTAGGCAGCTTATGGCTAATGAACCACTGGAAAAATTGGGATTTAAAGACCTGATAAATGAGAAATCAGAAGAAAAACCTGAAAAGTTGTGATGAAGACAGATGACTTTGCTCCTCATGTATGGAAAGCATAACTCTAAATGTAGTACATATTGTACCTTCTATTCATATTGCAGTAGGAAATGTTTCCTAAAGGAACATTTTTTCCAGAGTTTAATTTTCCTAAAACAAGATTTTTTTTTTAAATGAGCAAAAGTACTGCCTTTGTCTGCTTTGCTCAAGTATTTCTTAACTTCTTTCTTTTAATTTCTCTAGAGGGAAAACATTTACTGCCTGAAGTGTTCTCCATGTCTCTGTAAGAACAGTGAAGTCTTATTTTAAAAGGACAAAACCCCCAAACCAAACAACCCTTTATTGTGTAGATCTTGAACTACTGATTAATCTTGTGTGGGCAGTACTAATATGCTCACAGGAGTTGCTTGTTAGGTGGAAATAAAGCTGTTGTGGTACTTGCAAATTGCTTTTCATTAAATACTGGTATTAGTGCTCATCTTTGGGGTGATCTCCTTCTCACCCTGCTATGGAAGACACTTGGGGTGGGGGGTTTTTTTCAGTCTTAAAATCTTCCATCATTTTCAGGAGAGTATTTCTAGTTCCAGACACCAGTCAGGTAGTGATTCTGCTTTTAGTTACCATGCCAGCAGTGTTCACCTAACTTCATTTTATCATTTAACTGGGAATCTTTCATTCTGAATACATTCACTTATCCAAATAGAGCTGCCATATCTTTTGGGGTTTTAATATCTTAATGGTGAAATCAATGTGGAGACAGAAATGGTGTTTATTTGTGCTCTAAGTTACCAAATATACCTAATGTGATTGGACAGTTTTATTCTTTTAAAATCAAATGTTTTATATTAAAAAACAGGGTAGATCAGGAGTTAGCTGTCTAAGAAATCCAATGTTTCTTCCAAAACACGTAGCTACAGCCCAGACATTGAGAAGGCCATGCAGCAGGTGAGAAATCAGCTCTGAGTGTGTTTGTATAATTTAACCATGAATTACCAAAGCCATTCTCTTGCATGTAGTAATGCAATTGAGTCTTTCTTAATTAATGTTGAGTTCAGGCAGAAATAGTTTGGCCTGTTAGCCCCTTAGAAATGTGTTTCAAGCAGGCAATAAATTTGTAAATCCTTTGGATGTATTTTCTGCTGTATTTTCTGCCCTGTCACCCCTGCTTCTTTTGTTTTTGTTTTTAACCCTGTGACTCATTTCTCTGCCTATCTGGTTCTTGAACGTTAAGCTTTAGGGTCAGGGCCTGCAGACAGTGATACAAACAGTGATCTGTTTGTCAAGGCAATTCTCCAACACTTTCCTCTTTATTTGGTGTCCTCTCTTTGATATATCTCCCCTTCCCTGCTGTCTGCTTTTGCTTCTGCTTCTGCTTCTCTCCACTGTGCATCTGCTCATACTGAGCTCCAGGAAAGGGTGGAAGAACATTTTCTGCTTTTCATATTGATCATTGGAGCTGAGATTTAAATTGTTGCTCAGGTCTAATCTGATGGAACAGAGCGCACACAGCTCAGAGCAGGTTCCTGTTTGAAAAGAACATTCGCCGCCTGCTGCATATTTTTATTCTACTTCATTCTACTGTTCAAATTATATCCTTTGGTGAGATTAGTACATTTATAGAAAAGAAAGCAGAGATTGTATTTCTGCAACAGATATTAAAAGACTTTATATTAAACCACTGAACAAGAGCTTTCTTTCAGTGATACCAAGTTAGAATTAAAATAATCTCTGGCATCTGCAGAAGAAAGAAATCAAATTTCATGCTTCTGTGCTCCTTGAATATTATAAGGTGAAGTGAATTCATGGTAGATGTGAAAGAACCCACCAGTGGTGGGGGAGTAATCTGGGCTGTTATCAATGCTGGTTTCATTTTTTGGGTGTTACTCTGCGCTGTCGTTTGGCGAAACAGTTCCTTGACGAGTTCAGTCCATGTTTTTCTGAGACATTGATACCGGCTCTGTCCTCTGCATTGTTCTAGAGTAAAAGGGGTAAAGTTTTTGAGGTGTTGAGTGGTTGCCGCTCTAAAAGGGACCACGGAGGTGAGAGGTTTGCACCTTTCACCAACCCTAAGATCACATCCTCGTCCTGTCCAGATCCATAGACACCTTTCATTGTGCTTCCCAGCACTGTGAGTCAGCGGCACAGCACTGTCCCCTCATGCCAGGGCAAGAAAAGAGCTGTGAGTGGATAGTTGAAAACTTGGAGAATTGGCAGAAGCACATATTTCCTGTAAGCATTAGCTGGAGAAGAGAATATGTTCAGTGGAGCTGCAAGGTAAGCTCAGAGCTGGTGAGGGACATCAGACAGTTGAGATCTAATGCAACTGAGAGGTGGTGGGGAAAAAAGCCATTAATCAGTGCCAAACCTGGGTCAAACAGTTTTCCCAACTTGCTCTATGGGACAAGCCCCTGCGACACCAGAGTCATCGGGGAGAATTCCCAGAATGCTCTTCAATTAACTCATCCCAACATACAGATCATTAATTAAAGCCTCTCCATTTAAAACCTCTTTATTTTAGCTTTGCTTGTGGTATCCAGGTGTGTGCTCCTTTAAAATGAAAGGCAAAGGAAAGCTGTAAATTCACAGCCATCTTTCCTGTGCCCATACCAAGGAGGAACCTCTCCAGAAGCCTGTCACCAAGCTGGGAAAAATCTGTATTCTGGAAACGCTGAGCTGAGGTGCGTGTGCTACAGGGGAGGCAGTTTGTCAGGGGCACTGCTTCCTTCGTGGAGCTGTTTGGAGCTGATGAGCTGCTCTGCTGCGGGAGTGGTCCCACGCAAGTACATTAATCTTCCTGTGAGAAGCCTGCCAGGTGCTGC